CTTTGTGTGGGGGGTTTGCTTCTGTGTGTCTGTGTGTGTGTGTGTGTGTTTATCTCTGTGTGTCCATCTCTGTGTGTGTGTCTCTGTGTGTCTGTGTGTGTGCCTATGTGTGTCTGTGTGCCTGTGTGTGTTGGGAGGTGTGGGTGTGTGTCTGTGTATGTGCCTATGTGTGTCTGTGTGCGTGTGAGGGTGTGGGGGTGTGGGGGGGTGGGTGTGTGTGTTTGTGGCTGACACAGGACAGTTAAAGGCTGTCCCTGAGCTTAGTTGTACCTGAGCTTCACACTGAACTACAACCAATTATACGGGTTCCCAGCACCTTCTGCCAAGGCCAGGCCTTTCCTTGCCATCTGTCCTGCTCCCAGAGTGTCAAAGCAGGCAGCAAAAGCAAGCCAGGGCAGCTGCTTGACAAACATGTGAAATCACGTACTGCCTCCATCCAAAACCTGCAATGGATGCTGTCCATTCTGTGAAATGCCAGGTCAGTGACCAGCTCCTACCTTGGGAAGGAAGGAGTTCCATGTCTGTCTAGAACAGGGCAGGACCCCTAGAGATTGTCAGTGGGCCCCCCTACCACCTGTAGACCCCAGACCTAAACCAATCACCTCCACTCCTATGGCAGCAATCTCAGCTTCAGATGGGCCCAGAGAGTTAAGAAGTGTGTGCTTTCCCCCTGCCCCAAAAAAACTGTAGCTAGAGAAGAAAGCCTACAAGCCAACCCTCCTTCCCCCATGGCAAACCAGCCTTTAAATTGTCCTTCACAGTTCCACAAATGGCACCTGGTGTCTTCCTTTGTGATGATCCTGAAGGTAGCCAACCTAGATCACAGATGTTAGACTGAAAAAATCAAGTGTGACAGAAATCCCATCTCTGGTACATTGTGCAAAGAGGCTGACTTTGGGACAGTTTTAGCTTGAACCTCCCACTGTGGGAGGTTATAAGTTTATACCAGCGATATATTGTTCAAGCTCCAAGACCTTAGCCCCAAGTAGAGATAATTCTAATAAACCTCATGTGCCCATGCAGAGACCCCATGCCAGCACCACCTACTTCTCCCACCGGCATCAATAAATCTGGGGAGGGGATGCTTCAACTGCACAGCCAGTGGGGTCAGTGGGCGACAAGCAAGGGTGTCTCACACAAGTTGAAAACCAAACAGTAAAGCCCCTTTAAGGAGAACTACAAGTGTTAGCAACATGAAAGCCATTGGAAAACATGGGGCACCAGGACTAGACCTGAGTAAGAAGAGGGCAGTTGTTATGCACAGGACTCCCCAGAGAACTAGGACCAGAGTCAAGATGGCCTCCAACGTCTTTCAGAAAGGCATAGTCACAGATGCAAAATGAAGTCGTAATTATATGCATTTTGGAAATCTATTTCACAGAGTAATCTAGTAACTGCATCTAAGAAGCAACATTCTTTAGCCAGTTCCAGGGCTACTGCCTTAACCACGGAATCTTGGGTGCAAAGCTGATATGCACACACACCAGAAATCACCCAAACTTAGGTGGAAAAGAATAGCTATGAAAGTGAAGCTCCCTTTTGCTAATATCATTGCCCAGTAGAAGACAATTCCTTTGAGGGCATAGCTTGGGGCTGGCTTTTCCTGGGCATAAAAGCACTTTCATTTGCATTTGTTGTTTTTTTTTTTAAGAAAACAAACAAACTAAAGGAACTGTAAGGGTGGCTTGTTTCCTACAGATGCTGGGGCTTCTGCTGAACAGCTTCTTAGGACAGCAAGAGGCTCAGTCAGTCAAAAGCAAGAGTGTGGATTCAGCACCTACTAAGTGCTGCAATGTACAGAGCTGGGGTGGGGATCCTTATGCCCACAGCCTACAAGGAAAGGCCACTTGCCACTGGTTATTATAGAATAGCCATTCTACAGGTGGGGAAACTGAGGCTGGAGGTCAGAAAATGGCATCAGTGTGGAAGGCTCCAGATTCCACTTTTCCCACTCAAGCACAGCTGCCTTAGGACATGTGTTTGTGTGTGTGCAGATATATATGAGTGCATGTACATAAGTATGTGGATATATGTGCATATGAGTGTGTGTGTCTGGATGTTTATCTGCCTGCATGCATGTGCCTGCATGTGTGTATATGTTCATGTATGCATGTGTGCATGTGTATGTGTGCATGTGTATGTATGTGTACATGTGTATGTGTGCAT